TTAGTTTTATATTTCTTTCCTTAAGCCATAATTATATTTAAATAATTTTTTTTTTTTTTGATTTTTTAGAAAATAAAATTTCGTTATAAATACGCTTTGTTTTAATATATGAAATTTCTTTATTTTTTAAAATATTAATGTGTTAATAATCTTTTCACTCTTTATTTTTAATTATTTAAATTTAATTGAACATATAAAAATTTTACATAAAAGTAATTATCTTGTAATAACAAGTGAAGAGTTATAATAAATGTAATTAAAAAAATGCAAAAGATATTTTTTTTATCATGAAGGAAAGTAATACAGAAAAAAAAAATATGCCTATTATTAACAACCCATTCTTAAATATTAAAAAAGATAACTTAGATGAAAAGAAAGAAGTTAATTTATTAAATGAAGAAACTGTTAATAATACAAGAAAAAATGATCATATAAAAGAAAAAAAAAAAAAAAATGAACTTGATGGAGTTATGAATAATATAGACAAAAATAGTTCACATGGAATTTATAATAAAAAATTAAATGAAAATGAAATTGTGAAAGATAAAAAAAATACAGTTAATATAGACAATTTTTCATTCTCATCTAGTGATTCTAAGGAACATTTATATAAGAGTTTACCTAAAAGTAAAGTAAAAAATATCATTAAAAAATATAGTTCATCAAGTTCAGATGAGGAAGATGATGATTTTAATAAAAATGAATTTAAAAAAAATACTAAAAGTAAGGAAAATGAAATGGACTATAAAAATAATAATACAAGTGATGACTTAAGAAATATAAAATATCAAAGTAAAAAGATGTTTGCTAATATTTCTAATAATGATGAAAAATTAATATTTTTGCCTAAAAAAGTAAGAGAAGAAAATAGAAGAAAACTAGAAAAACAAAATGAAATAATAAATAAAAATGAAGAAGTAAATAAAAAAAATTATACAAAAGAGGAAAGTAGAAAAAATAAAGAAGAAAAGACAGATTATAATGATAAGAAGAGGCAAAAAAGAAAAGAACTAAGTGAAGATAAAAAGAGAAAAGATATAATTGATGAAAAAAAGAAAATGAAAAAAAATGAAGAAAAATATGATTCGAATTGTAATACTATTGAGGAATATAAATCGTCTCATGCAAAACCAGAATCCTCCTTAGCAGAATTAAATATGTTAAATATAAGTAATATAGAAAAGGAAAGCTTAAGAGAAAAAGAAATTGAGATTATAAAGCAGCAATATTTAGGATTAAATAAGAAAAAGAAAAAAATTCAGAAACCATCTGAAAAATTTAGAAATATTTTTAATTTTGAATGGGATCAATCAGAAGATACTTCAAGAAATGATAATAACCCATTATATCAAAATAGATTAGAACCACAGTTATTATTCGGTAGAGGATATATAGCAGGTATAGATGTAAGAGAGCAAAGAAAAAAAAATAATTTTTATGATAAATTAGTTCAGAATAGAATAAATTTAAACTTAAAAAAAAATGTAGAAAATAGTTTAAAAAAAGATAATTCAGGAAATGTAACAAATAATCTTAACAATAGTTCATTGAGTAAAAATAAAAGTGGAGAATTTATATATGAACCAAAAGTAAATAACATAATTAAAGATGTATGCCACAAGCATTGGAGTGAGAAGAAAAGAGAAGAAATGACAGACAGAGATTGGAGAATATTTAGAGAAGATAATGAAATTTACATCAAAGGTGGTATAGTACCTCCTCCTATAAGAACATGGGAAGAATCAAATTTGTCTGTGGATTTATTAAAAGCAATTAAAAAAGCAAAATATGATAAACCTACTCCTATTCAAATGCAGGCCATACCAATTGCATTAGAAATGAGAGATTTGATAGGAATAGCTGAAACAGGTTCAGGAAAAACAGCAGCATTTGTTTTACCTATGCTTTCATACGTTAAGCAATTACCTCCATTAACATATGAAACATCACAAGATGGTCCATATGCTCTCATTATTGCACCATCGAGAGAACTAGCTATACAAATATATGAAGAAACAAACAAGTTCGCATCTTATTGTTCTTGTAGAATGGTTGCAATTGTGGGAGGAAGAAATGCAGAATCTCAAGCTTTTGAATTAAGAAGAGGTGTAGAAATAATTATAGGAACCCCAGGAAGAATACAAGATTGTTTAGAAAAAGCATATACTGTTTTGAATCAATGTAATTATGTTATAATTGATGAAGCAGACCGTATGATGGATATGGGATTTGAAGATACAGTTCATTATATTCTTGATAAAATACCAACAAGTAATTTAAAATCAGAAGATGATGCTTTAGCATTACAAGAAGAAATGATGGCAAAAGCTGGACATCGTTTATATAGATTAACTCAAATGTTTTCAGCTACTATGCCACCATCTGTTGAAAGATTATCGAGAAAATATTTAAGAGCACCTGCATATATTTCTATTGGAGATCCTGGTGCAGGAAAAAGATCAATTGAACAGAAGCTAGAATTTATCACAGAAGGAAAGAAAAAACAGAAGCTGCAAGAATTATTAGAAATTCATGAACCACCAATTATAGTGTTTGTTAATCAAAAAAAAGTTGCTGATATTATTGCAAAATCTATAAGTAAAATGAAATTTAGAGCTGTATCATTACATGGTGGTAAACCACAAGAAATAAGAGAGCAAACATTAGCTGCATTCAAAAACTCAGAATTTGATATATTAGTTGCAACAGATGTTGCTGGAAGGGGTATTGATGTACATGGAGTTAAGTTAGTTATAAATTTTGATATGCCAAAAGATATAGAATCTTACACACATAGAATAGGTCGTACTGGAAGGGCAGGTATGAAAGGATTAGCTATTTCATTTTTAACTGAACATGATACACATTTATTTTATGATTTAAAACAATTTATGTTATCATCGAATAATTTAGTTCCATTAGAATTATCAAATCATCCAGCATCAAAAGTAAAACCAGGAACAATTGTACAAACACCGAAAAAAAATCAAATTTTATATAAAAATTAAAAAAACGTATTTGCACAGATATTCTTCTCATATGCATATAAAAGAAATGTGAATATAATTATTACTACTAATTTACAAACATGTGAAATAAAAGAATACCCAAAATAAATATTATTTGTATACACAATTATATGAATTATAAAGACAAGATAAATACATGATTAAATAAATTAATAAAAAATATAGGTATGTAACTAAAGGGAAAAATAAATAAAATCATAATATATGTTGACTATAAAAATTAATTATTTTATAATTAATATATGATAAATTTAATGAATGAAATTAATAAAATAGCGATATAAATAGAAATATGAAAATGCATCCTTTTAAATTTTTTTTTTTTTTTTTTTTTTTTTTTTTGTAAATACATAAAGAATTTTAAGATGACATTTTTTATTTAATTTATTGAAACAAAATAAAAAAAATCATGTCTTTTTATTTTGTGTCCATTATATTATTTATTCATGTGATATTATATATTATTCTTATTTGTTTTTATTAGGTATATATTTATTTTCCTTTTTTATTAAAACTTATTAAAATTTGAATCTAGGAAGTATTATATCATTTTAATTTTATTCTTTTTTTAATTTATATACATTAGCATATATTTTTTTTTTTTTTTTTTTTTGTAGAAAATTTCCCTTTTGAAAATATACATACGGCTTATATTTGAATTCATTTTAACAAATATTTTCTTTTTCTTGAATTTTTTTAAAAAAGAAAATATCTTTTAAATGAAAAAAATAAAAAAAAAAAAAAAAAAAGCTGAACTCTTTAATTTTTGACTTTACAAAATATTTATCAAAATAAAAAATTATAATTTTTTTATATTTTTTGTTGTGCATAATAGTATTCATATTATATGCATACAAAAAGGAAAACTTAACTCCTATGAGACGGGAAAAAGAAAAAATATATATATATATATATGTATGTAGTTCTTAATTCCTTTTACTTATTCTATTTCATTAGTATTAATAACGCATATATGCATAATTATGCATTGCATCTAAATTATATGTTTTTCTTTTAAAAAGTAATAAAGATGGATTATGATATAGAAGCAGATGTACCTAGAACCGATAAAAATTATATACTCTATATACCTATTGTTTTAGATCAAATAGTAAAAATGAACAAAAAGGAAGGGAAAATAACAAGTTTTCATGCTTCTAAAATTCCAGAAATATCAATAAAGAATTATGTAGAAAGAATAGGAAAGTATATAGGATGTAGTAATGAATGTTTTGTTTTATTAATGATATATGTAGATAGGATAATCAAACTACATAAAGATATTACCCTATCTTTACTGTGCATTCATAGAATAATTATAACTGCTGCCATGATAGCTGCTAAGTTTTTTGATGACTTATATTATTCAAATTCTTTTTATGCAAAAGTAGGTGGTGTTACAACAAAAGAATTAAATAAATTAGAAGCATGTTTCTTAAATCTACTAGATTATAAATTATATGTTTCTTCAGAAGAATATGATTTTTATAGAAAATATATTTCTTTAGCTGTTCAAAAATTCTTAAACAATAAAAAAATAACACGTATTCCAATAGCTAAACCTTACAATTTATTTAATTACACATCTCCTGATAAATCTAACATGTTCCTTGAAAGAGAACAAAATGTACATTCAGACATGAGGAAATTTTCAAGAATATCACAAAACAAAAAAAAAAATTATCAATATGATAATAAATAAACATATTTAATATACATTTTTTAGTAAAATTAATTAAAAATATAAAATTTTTTTTATGTGTATAAATAAAAGTAAAAATAAAAAAAAAAAAATTAAAATAAAACAAAAAGGATAATTATTAAAATTTCTCGTATACGTAAATATCATTTTTATGTATTTTACATTACAATTACTCTATAATAAAAAAAAAAAAAAAAAAAGAAATGTAATATTATTATTCGAATAATTATGTATTCTTTTTATTTTATATATATATATATATATTTCCTAAATTCAGAATTTAAAATATTTATTTAATATTTTATTGTAAATTTAATTATTTCTTTCCTTTTTTTTCTTCTCATACATAATAATTTATTATTAAAATAAAAAATTATTAGTGTAAACTTTGTTAAACTTTGTTAAAAACTATTAACGTGGTAGAAATGGAAAAAATAAGGTATATAATACAAACAAAAAATAAAGCATTGATAATAATCATTATAATATTTTCGTAATTATTCTATTAAAATAAAATTAGTTTATTATAATTTAAAATAACATATGTTTAATATTTTTTTCAAACTATTATTTATTATAAGAATATAAAAATGATTTTTTCTATATATAGCTTTGAATAAATTATATACATAATTAAAAATTATAATAATAAAAAAAAAAAAAAAAAAATAGAAATAATTATTTTTTGTGTTAATACGGAAATACTTATATGTACAATTACTAAATAAAATTTAATTCATTTATTTTGAAAAAAAAAAAAAAAAAAAAAATAAATTTTTAAGAAAAACAAAAATTAATAAAAAAAAAATTGAAATTTTTTGCAATAAAAAAAAAAAAAAAATTATGAAGTTTTAATTTATTTTTTCTTTTTTTCAGTACATTTAACTAATTTTAAATAATAGTATTTTTATTTTCTCAATTATAAAAGAATGGAGATTATATCAATAAATGATAATTCAAATGGAAACAAATCAGAAAAAAAAGAAAATATAATTGAGTTAAATCGTTCATTTAGAAGATGGTATCCTTATATTGATAATGGAGGGTAAGAATAAAAGAAAATAATTCTTCATAAAAAGAATAAAAAAGAAGAAATTTTTATACGAAAATTTAATTTTGAATATATCAATAAAAATAAATAGTTGAATAATATTTCATAAAAAATTTTAAATTTAATTAATATAAAATAAATATTATTCTTTTTAAATATTTTATATATGAATAATAAAATATAATTATACACATATATATATATATATATATATATATATATATATATATATATATATATATATATATATATATATATATATATATATATATTAAATTTTGTTTTTTAGAACTGTTATTGGATTAACTGGTAAAGATTATGTAATTTTAGCAGCAGACACTCGTTTATCATTGTCTTATTCTATATATACAAGATATTGCCCTAAAATATCAAAATTGTAATCTATAATATTATTATATTTTTTATATTATACTTTTAATGAAACATCATTTATATATATATATATATTTTTTATTTACAGGACAGATAGATGTATTATAGGTTCATCTGGAATGCAATCAGATATAAAAACTCTTCACTCATTATTACAAGTAAAATAAACAAAAAATAAAAAATTTACATTGTTTATTTTAAATAATAAAAAATATAATTTTAATACATTATCTTAAAAATTATTCTATTTTATATAATATTTTTTTTAGAAAAAAATACAACTATTTGTTTTAGAACATTCGCATTATCCAGATATTCATGTCATAGCTAGATTGTTATGTGTAATATTATATAGTAGAAGATTTTTTCCATATTATACTTTTAATTTATTAGCAGGAGTAAGTGATGATAATAAAGGAGTATTATATAACTATGATGCTATAGGGTCTTATTGTCAATCAACTCATTCTTGTGTTGGTAGTGGAGCTGCTCTAATTCTCCCAATATTAGATAACAGAGTAGAGCAAAAAAATCAGTTAATTAAGAATTTTAATTTTAATATGAGAGATGATATTGATTTTGTTAAAGATGCTATTACATCTGCTACTGAAAGAGATATATATACAGGAGATAAAGCCGATATTTATATTGTAGATAAATTAGGAATAAATACTACTTCGTTAGATTTAAAACAAGATTAAAGTTAGCATATAGCACTTATATTTAAAAAAAAAAAGCTTTTTTTTTTTAATCTATAAATTTTTTTTTATGCATGAAACATTAAAATATGAAATATTTTTATGAGTTTATAAAATTTATATATATATATATATACATATTTTATATTATATAATTATTTTTTTTTTTTTTTATTAAGTGTATGTGTAAACTTTAAAAAATTAAAGAAAAAAAGAAAATATTAGATAATATTTATTTATAATATTTTTCCATTATATACATATATATATATGTATAAATTTTTTTTTTTTTTTTTTTTTTTTAACACTTTAAAAAAACAAAATTAAAATTATTTTTTACATAATTCAGCATACACTAAATGAAAAATGTAATTAAAAATAGAAAAAAGCAAAATATAAAATGTATTTGAATCTAATAAAACAATTTGGAATATATATAAAAACAATGTAAAATTTTATGTGCACATTTAATCTTATGTAACTAGCTTGAATTATATTTATCATATTATGAATTCTTTTAATTATATATATGCAATAAATTCATGTGCAGAATAAAAAAAGAAAATAAAGTGCAATTTTATTAAGAAGAATAAATATACATTTTTTCTTTGTGTTACATATATATTTTATTCAATTATTCCATACTTTTTTAATAAAATATATTACTGTTATTTTTATTTTTATTTCACCATTTTTTTTTTTTTTTTTGTTAAGATTACTTTTTTTTATTTTTGTTTTTAAAAAATTTTACATAAAATAAATGTAAAATATAATAAAGGACTTTCTTACATTTTTTCAAAAAATTTTATTTTAAAACGAAAAATGAAAATACTTAAAATTAATATTTTTAATCCTAATTATCTCATATTTAGAAATAATTACTTACCAGTATTAAATAAATTTTATATCAGAAGCAATTTTACTACAGACAATCGAAAAAATGAAGAAATTGAAAGAAATGAATCAAATAAAGAGATAAAACATGAAAGTGTTAAAAAAAAAAAACCAAATGGCTTACAAATTGATTGTGAATTAAAAAGCCCCTTAAAAGAATTTTTAAATGTGAACACTGCATCTAGGATATTCGTTTTGAAACACGCATGGAAATATATTAAGGATAATAATTTACAAAATCCAAATATGAAAAGAAAAATTATACCAGATGAAAAATTAAAACAAATACTAGATAAAGATGAAGTTGATATTCTTGAAATTCCAAAACTTCTGTTTAGGCATATGTCATCCATCCCAAAATAGTAAAAATGAAAAAAATGTAAAAAAAAAAAAGAATTATTGCAGTTCTTATATCTTTGTTACATATTTTCGAAAAACTTTTATAAGTCTTTTTAAAATTTACAATCTCTTTTTTTACATATCTTCTTTTTAATCATATTTTTTAATATTATATTTTTACTGAAAAATCTTTATTTTTTATATTTGATTAAAAAATAATTGTTTTTATAATTATTTGCTTTATTTAAAACTAAAATTATTTTATATGTATGATATAGGTTTAAAATTGTAATACCTTAACTACAAATATATATATATATATATACATTAATAAGTAGACTAATTAAAAAGAAATCCTTTTTACATAAATGCAATCTGTAAAATATATATATATATATATATACTTTTTAAAATTTAAATAATATTAAAATTACGCCCAAAAAAATAAAAATATATTTTAGAATTTTTTTTTATATGTTATTGATTTTTTTTTTTTTTTTTAAATTTCGAACATTATATAAAATAATCAAAATTAAACATTAATTTTTTTTAGAAGATAAAAATATTTCCGTTTATGCTTGAAAAATTTATAAATGAATCAAATAAATTCTTTTAAAAAGTTTTCAGTAGAATATTTCATTACAAAAATTAATAAAAAGTATTTTTTTTTTAAATACTTAATAAAGTTGCTCTTAAAAATATAAATGTTGTAAATACTAAAAATATTTTAGATGAATTAGACATATTATTAAAAAAGTTGAAAAGAATAATAATATTATAGAAAAAAAATAAGAAAAATAAATTTTATTATATTAAAAATAGTGGTACAAAAGAAATATAGATAAAATTATGGAATATAAGATAATTACTAAAAATAAATATGGAAATATAATATAACTATAAATATTAAAAATAAATTTTAAAATAAAAATAAAAAATGTTTATAAAATATTGAGAATATTAAAATTAAGTTATTAAAGAAAAATATATTATATATTATATATTATAATTAACTTTATTTAAAATCTTTTTAATGAAATTTATTGTATTTAAGCTACTAAACATAAATGTATGATTACTAATTGAAATGGAAATAACAACAAAACCAAGAGCTCTCAATAACCTTTTCTTAAATAAGGAATTTGGATTATAAATAATTTTTTTACCTTTTTGAAAAAAGTGACTAGGTCCATCAATTTCTATAACAATCTATAAAAAAAAAAAAAAAAAAAAAAAAAAAATGTCTTTTTTGAATCTTAGTTTATGTAAAATGAATTATACATTAAGTTAAATCCATGCTTTTAATTAAATATTTACAAAATAAAATAAAATAAATAAGTGAATAAATAATGTAAAAAAAAAAAAAAAATACTTTTGAATGAGGTATATAAATATCAACAAGGATTGAATCAAATAAAAAATATTCATTATAATGAAAAATATTCAGTTGTTTTAATTCATCAGATATTTTTTTATGAGCAGACGAAGATATTTGATTTTTTTCTTCTTTTCTTTGATTTCTTGCTAATTGTTTTCTCCATATATTTAAAGTAGTTATTGAAACATTAAAATATTTTTCAAAAATAAGTTGTATTTTTTTCTTTGTGTCAATACTTTTCAAGCTACAATTACTTATATCTTGATGACTTTTTAATAACTTATTTGAATTTTTTTCACTATTTAATATGTACAAGCAAAAAGAAAAAGACGCTTGATACAACTGGGATTGATGTAATTGTGATATGTACTTTTGTAGTTTATTAGAATTCCTTTTTCTACTATTTTTTATAAATCTTTTGTTGCATTCACTTAAACCATTTTCAAAAATGTTTTTTGAAAAAACATTTAATACTGACAAACTCCATAATATATTAGCTATTGATTGAGTTTCACATTTCTTCCATTTAATAATTTTTTCTTTTAGTTGAGATTGAAATAATTCTAATAATGTTAGGACCATATTATTATTATTTGTTTCGTTATATATGTTATTTTCTTCATCATTTAATATATTGAAAATTTTTAAATAGTTAGAATTGTTAACATTATTTAAACTTGAATTTAAATTACTACTTTTATATAAAATATCGCTGTTTGAATTTTTATCAATGGTACTTTGTTTACCATTAATACATTTAATTCCATTATTCGTAGATAGCTTATTGTTAGAAGTTAAATTTATTTCCTCATTTATATTGAAGCTATTGTCCATTTGATTATTTATGCAATTAAATTTATTTTCCTTTTTTTTTGCATCATTTATTAAGTTTTCATCTGTAGGAATATTACTTTTCATAATTTTATTATAATTGTGATCATTTATTTCTATTTTATTTTTGTTATTATTAAAAATATCTAAATCAATATTTAAACTAAATTTATTTTTCTGTTTTTCATCAATTTTATATTCGTCATCATGGATATAAGAAATTGCAGGAAAAATATATTCCTTGTTAATAATATGAACATATGGTTTGCAATCAAAAAAATAGTTGACTTTTTCAATAGATAAACTTTTATCTTCTTCATAAACTACATTAGTATGTAAGCATTCATAATTGTGATGGTTTAAAAAAATATAATACAAAGAATCATTCTCTTTTTTATAATGTATAATATTTTTATTATCCTTATTGTTTGTATTTAAAATATTAATATTTACATTTCCTACTGCCTCACCATTTATTTCATTACTTTTCATATAAATATAATACTTCAAATCTTTATGATCTGAATATATATCTTTATATAAACCTAATCCAACATTAGCACAAGACCAAAATATATTTGACCAACTTCTCATAGTCATTTTATCTTTTTCATTATTAATTTTTTTTAAAGAAAACTTTAGGAAATTTTCAAATAATAAAAAGAAAACATATTTTTTATCATTTGCATTATCATCTTCTATTAAATTATTTTCCGTTGGATTTTCATAATTATTAACGGCATGATTAAAAAAATAAAACTTATCACAGTTAAATATTTCCTGATTTTCTTTCTTTTCTGTTTTTCTTATTGTTAAATAGTCTTCGTGAATATTATATAAATCAAAATGTCTTTTTTTAATAGTCTCCAAGATATTCTGATTTATACAATCAGAAGCAAAAATAGATAAACTATACAAAACAGTTGATATATCTTTTAATAATAATTTATCAAAAATTTTTAATGCATAATTATATAAAATAATTAATAAGTCAAGGTTACAATATTTTGAAATTCCAAATGACCATATTATATTACTAAATTCTTGTGCTTTAAATTTATTTTCATTAATATATTTTTTTATACAATTATACAACAATATGAATTCTTCTTTCGTTTTGATAAGTTCATTTTTTGTTGCACTAAATGACCATATGATAATTGATAATTCTTGTGCCTTGAAGCTATTAATGTTTTCATAAAATTGTTTTTTTATATTTGACCATACTACCATATCTTTATTTGATAAAATAGCAGAAGCCCATGCAATATTAGCTACATGTTTAGTAATAACGTTAGAATTATCTACTAAATTGTTCTTTAATAATTCATATATATAACTGTATATTTTTATATTAGATAAATTTTCATGATTATTATACATAAAATCTTTATTTTTTTTTATTTTATTATCCTTATCATTTATCTTAACATTACTACTATTAGCTTCTGTAAGAAAGGTACTTTTTTCACTATAATTTTCTTCATTACTCCTTTCAGTGTTCCCACTGTTTTCACTTTTATCTTCTAATTTAACTTCATTTATATGTTTTTTTGAACTTTCATTAGAGTGATTCTCTGTGTTTTCATCTACTTTGTTATTATCATAAGAAGAATTAAAAGTAATATTTGACTTTTCTTCTATATCACTAACATTAGAATAATTTTCAAACAAACTAAAAGTCACAGGATCAAAATAACTATCAGTTTCATTTTCTTGATTCAGGTTTTTTTTCTGATAAAAATTTTTATTTCTCACATGTTTAGCTATCCTGTGATATGCTGTTACAATGTTAACTTCATTAAAAATGTTTTTTTTTTTTTGTTTGCTTGAATTTTCATTGTATTTTATCAAAACATTCAGTAATTCTTCAACAGATAGTGAATTTACTAATTCCTTATTTATTTTTATGTTTAAATGATTAGTATCATTGGAATTATTGATTACAAATGAGTAATATGCTGAGTGATATTTCTGTGATTCATCATTAGTTAATTCATTATCTATATTATATTTTTCTAAATCAAATTTATTGATTTCTTTTGTATTATTCCATGATGTAAATTTATAATGTCTTTTTTTATTCTTTTTAATATTTTTATTTATTTTTGATTCATTATTTAATTCTTCATTTGAATTTTTTTCTTCGCTATCTAAAAATATTTCATCATTTAAATTATCCAGTTTACTATCTTGATCATCTAATGTATTATTTTCTATTGTATTTATACGCTCATATAATATTATTTTCTTTTGTTTTTTATTATAGAAATTTAAGAAAAAATCATTTTTCTTTTTTTTAATATTTTCGCGATTTGCTAAATTAAACCATTTAAATAAGTAATTGCCCTTCTTATAAAAAATTGTATTACTTTTTCTATTTCTTCCATAAAAAATTTTAGTATAAATTTTTTTATTTTTATTAGCTAAAAAAAATGTTTTATCTCTTATAATTAAATTTAGATCATAATTTTTTCTTAAACATTTAATCTTTTTTAAATAATATGCCTTTACTAATAAAAAAAAAATTAGTAGCAATTTTAAATTAAAATTTTTATTCTTTAATTTCATATATACTAACATATCCCTTATATGAAAAAATTATGCAATTCATTTTTCTAAAATTTTGACTATATGAAGAAAAGAAATAGAAGAAAAAAAAAAAAAAAAAAGAAAATTAAAAAATATTTAATTCATTTTAAATACAATATAATTTAAAAAGAACAATGAGAATTCAAAAAAAAGTTAAAAAAAAGTATCTATATAAAAATATGTATCCAACATTCTTTGCAATTATTAAATAAAAATATGTTAACGTATTTTAATATAAATGCAATTTTATTAAAATAAAAATATGCCTTTAATTAAAATATTAAAAAAAAAAAAAATTATTTTTAAAAAAAAATAAATATAATTTTAAAAGTAGATTATATATTGCATCACTCAGTGATAATTTATTGCTATTTATATTTTTTATATTTTTTATATTTTTAATAATTAAAACTTTAAAACACAAATATGCCTGAGAATTAATTGCTAATTATTCAAAAAATTTATATTTTATTACAAATTTTCTTTATGAAAAAAGTGAAAATTCATATTTAATTTATATTAACAAAAAAAAAAAAAAAAAAAAAAAGAAAAAAAAGAAAATAAAAATAAACATAAAAATAAAAATAAAAATAAAAATAACATAAATGTACTTTTTTCTTCTATATTCTTTTCCTTCATTAAAGTAATGGTTCTCTGTATAATGTCTTTTCAACGTTACTATGAGAACAAAAAGCTTAAAGTAAAAAAAAAAAAAAAAATGTAGAAAAACGATAAAGATATTGACAAAACTTCTATTTTAATATCTAATAATAATATGAAATTATTTTAATTTTGTAAAAAATATATTTTAAAAATATCTTATTCAATAGATACAAAAATTCTAAAAGTAAAAAATATTTAGAAATATATTTACCAGTTCCTCCTGGTTGTAAGTCAATAAAATCACCTTCTCCCACAGAAAATTCCCATGAATTTTTTTTATTATAAATATAACTTTCAAAAAATGACTAAAAATAGAAAATTGTAAAAATTATTTTAAATCTTATCTTTTGTTAAATATTGACTCTTTTTTATTTATTAATTTACTAATTTATTCATTTATTTATTTATCTTATTTATATTTTATTTTATTATTTTTTTTTTTTTTTTTACTTTTAAAATAATTTGTCCTGTTTTTTTTATCAAAACAGCTTTGTGATGATCGATGCTTTTTTTAGAAAATGAGCAAATCCAACTGCAATCAAATAAAATAACAATACATTTATATAAATAATAATTTTATATTTATCTTATATTATTATTTGTAAAAATAGTATTCTTACTTCTCTTTTGTTGATTCATTTTTATTTGGAACTTCTGGATTAATAGTTATTAAATCGTTCATTTTTAGAGGTTTTCTACTAATTGGGCAAATTAAATTTTTTAAAGGGGGTTTTAATTTTTTCTGAATAATATCTTTTTTTACTTTTGAATTATTGGAGAGCCAAAAATTATTTGATATATCCAAAAGATTTTTCTTTTCTTCGTTCTACAATAAAATACTTTTATTTGATATATAATTTTGTTAAAAAATATGATTAAATTTCTTTTTTCTTTTTTCATTTTTAATATTTACCTTATCTTTTTCATTATTGTTTATACTTTCTAAATCTTCTATAAATTTTTTTTTTTCTTTCTCTTTTTCATAATTAGCTTCATCCTTTTTTTTTTTTTTCAATTCTTTAATATAATCATTATATTCTTTTTTCTTTCGAGAATATTCTTTTTTTTGCTTTAATAAATTATTAATTATACACATCTTACAAAATATATGACCATATGGTGTGCTTACTGGATATTCAGCATTTCTTAAACATATCCAGCATTGCTCAAATTTTCTCATTGAGTCCTTTCCTAATCGCTCTTTTAAAGTTCCCACATCTTTTATTTTGTTAACAGAAAAAGAAATATATATATGAACATGAACAATTTTAAATACTAAATACTTTAATATATTTTTAATAACATATCTTCATATATATTCAAAAAATTAATTTTTTAACCTTTAACTTTTTTTCTTTCGTGATATGTAAAAATAGGATTTGCTGTATTATTTTTACTATGCCTTGGCATTTTAATTCAAAAAATTATAAAGATTGATACTTTTCAGCACACGTTAAAATTTTCTTTAAAAAATGAATTAATAAAATGTTAACAAGAGAAATCAAAAATTTTTAGTTTATGTAATTTTTTACATATACAATTAAAAAACAATTTTTTAAATGTATGCATTTCAAAACTAAAAAAAAAAAAATTAAAAAAATTTTTTTTTTTTTAAATAACATATAATTGAGTATATATTTTTATACGCGTAGCTGTGCGCATTTTAAAAGTTGGCTCACAATATTATCGACAAAAATTTATTTTATTTGTTAACTTTATTATTCATGTAGTTATATATAAAATAATAATATAAAAATATAATAATTAAAAATTGTATATAACATTTTTTAAAAACAAATAATTTTTTCGTTGTATTTTTATTGTAAACATCTTTTTTTTCTTTTCTTTTTTTTTTTTTTTAATCTAAAATATTAATATATTAATTTCGTCTAATATATGTTAACTATATTTTATTTTTTTTTTTTTTTTGTCTTATAAGAACTGTTCGTTAAATTATACATTTCTTTTTAAATAATTGCATATTATCATTATAAATAATATATATATGAAGATTAAATTTTTTCACAAATATATTTTTAAACATAAGAAAATAAAAATGTTTTTATATATTATTCCATTAACTGACTCTTTTTATTTATAATTTGAAATCATTTCATCTACACATTTAAAGAGAGAATGAATCTCATTTGGATAATATTGATATATTCAAAACTTTTAAAATAAACATTTTTTAAAAAAAAAATTTTTAGTCTTTTTTACTTTTTTGTAATTCAAATATAAATAATAAAAATTTACTATTCGAACTTTTTTTGTTTTTTTAAAGAAATTTAAATATTTTAAAAAATAATATATATATATATATATTTATTTATTTATTTATTTATTAATATAATTTTACTAATAAAATTCCAATGATAAATTATCATTAAGATGACGTGTAATCCTATAGGAACAGATATTAATATTTTAGACAATAATTTAACTCAAATATTTCGAGATTCGGAAGAATGGCTAATTTTGGAATACTTTTTACAAATGAATACAAGAACGTCAAGAGTAAAATTAGTACAAGCATGGCATGTATCTCCTGCACATACAATTAACAAATTTGAAAAAAGAAATTCAGAAAAATTAGTTTTAAAATGCTTCATTGATACATTAGCTTTAGATAAGGATAACACAATCCAAGATATTTGTAGAAGAGGTTTTTCTATTTCTAAAAAAGGATTAAAATTATCTGTTGGGAATTTCAAGTTAGACTATTAAATTAACCGTACTATAAATTTGATTTTTTTTTTTTTTTTTTTTTATTATATATTTTATTTAATGATATATGTAAACATTTTATATTTATTTTACAGTTAAATAATTTTAAAATATAAGAAACTAATATATTTATTTTATTTCTTTTTTAATGAATATGAAAATATATAGGGTTAATATTATATTTATAACATATTTATCCTATTAGTGTATAAAACATAATTTTTGTGTATGTTCAATTTTTTTTTTTTATGTAGTTTACCTGGATTCCCCTTAACATCTTTAAATAAAAAAAATATTATTAATGATTCTAACGAACTAATATATGAACAAGATGTAACATATTTAGGAAAAAAAAAGAAAAAAAAAATTATAGAACATAGCGAAACAGTTTTATTATCAGGAGAAAGGAGTTTATTTGAATTTTTTTTATGTGATGTAGGTGTGGGTTTATCATTAGCTGTAAGTGAAAACGAAATTGCAGCATATAATAGAGATACATTACCCATCGAATATGACAGTATATTTATAAAAAAAAAAAAAGATAAAACATTAGATGATTCATTAACAATTCATTACAAATGTAAAAAAAATGAAAATGAGGAAAATAATAATGAAATTAATTTAGTTTTAGGTGGTGATACAATGGCAACTTATGGTGTTTTGCCTTATTATACTTTTCATCATGAATATATAATTTATGATAATTCACAGCTATTACCTCGATACTTAATTCAATTTGAATGTGACCCAAGTGCAGATGAACATTTTGCTATTCCATTGTGTGATTATTGTCAGGATGCTCCTTCTGCATTTTATTGTGAATCTGATGAAGTAAGGTTATGTGAAAAATGTGATAATATTATTCATTCTCAAAATAAGCTAGTTATGAAACATATAAGAAAATCATTGAATGAAGCTCAAAAAATTCCAGGAAAATGCAAAATACATTTACATAATGACATTAATATGTTTTGTACAGTTTGTCATGTACCTATTTGTGAATTATGCATGTCTATCCATTCACATACAGATTTATCAAGTGAAAACTTAATTAACATAAATTACAGTTCTGATACTATAATGTCATTAAATATGGCATATAAGGCTATTATTCAATATAGTAGTAAACCATCGAAGCTTATTAAAGAAAGAAAAAGAAACTTAAATGATTTGTTAAATAAAATTGAAAAATTATATGAACAAGTTAAATTAAATATTCACGATGCAGAAGAAAATGTGTATACCATACTTGAAGACTTAGTGAAGCAATTACATATGATAACAGAAAAAAAAATGTGTTCAGTTTTAAGTGAAGAATATGAATTAAAACGACAATTTAATGAAATTATATGGAATGAATCATTTTTACATTATTTACAAACTATTTTACCTCCTGCAGACTTTATGAATGCTTGGTTGAAGCACTGTAAGAGGCGAGAAGAAATTGAAAAAAACTCATTAATTGTAGAAAAAATTTATTCATTAGTATTTCCAGATATGAGAATAAAGGGAAATATAAATATTGTAACTGAAGGATCAATTGAACATGAAAATTTATTTCACTCAACTGAAAACTTATAGAATAATATAATGATAAAAACTGAATAATAATTTTAAAATAAAGTTTTCCAATAAATAATATGTAAATTGTAAATAACTTTTGTGAATATAAAACATGCACAGTTTTTTTTTTTTTTTTTTTTTTTTTTTTTTTTTTTTTTTGTTTTTCGCTTTTATTTTCTTCATAAAGATTATGTACCTTTATATATATATATTTTTTTTTTATTAAAAATACCTTTATGGTAGGTAAAATTATTCCTAACATTAAAG